CTCTACATAAAAAAGCCACATATAGTAAGCCTACAGCTGACATGATACTTCTAAAATAAGGAAAAAGACAAGGATGCCAACTTTTGTCACTTTTATTCAACAGATAACTAGAAGTCCTAGCCACAGCAATTTGGCAAGAAAAAGAAATAAAAGGCATTCAAATTGTAGAGGAAAAAGTAAAACAGTCTCTATTTACAGATGGCATGATATTATATGTAGAAACCCTAAAGACCACCAATAAACTGTTAGAATTAGTAAATGAATTGAGTGAAGTTGCATGATACAAAATCCACATACAAAAATCAGTTGTATTTCTGTATACTATCCAAAAGAGAAATGAAGAAAATAATCCCAATTACAGTTGTATCAAAAGATTAAAATACCTAGGTAGAAACTGCACCAAGGAAATAAAAGTACTGTACACTGAAAAGTATAAGACACTGATGAAAGAAATAGAGGAAGACAAAAATAAATGTGTTCGTTGGTTGAAAGAATTAATATTATTCCAATGTTAATACTGCCCAAAGCAATCTACAGATTCAGTGCAACCCCTTTTGAAATTCCAATGGCTTTTTCCCCAGAAATAGAATAAACAATCCTAAAATTTTCATGAAACCACAAAAGGCTTGAAACAGCCAAAACAATCTGGAGAAAGAACAAAGCTGGAGGCATCACACTTCCTTATTTCAAACTATATTACAAGGGAGTAGCAGTCAAAACAGCATGGTATTGGTATAAAAACAGACACATATTTCAATGATCATAATAGTCCTTTTGTATATATGGTCAATTTTTTTTGTGACAAAGGAGCCAAGTACATACAATGGAGAAAGGACAATCTCTTCAATAAATGGTTTTGGGGAAACTGGGCAGCCACATACAAAAGAATGAAACTAGACTACAATCTTATGCCATACACAAAAACCAACTCAAAATGTGTTAAAGATTTGAATGTGAGACCAAAAACCATAAAGCCCTTAGATGAGGACATGGGGTAAGTTCCATGACATAGGTCTTGGCAATGATTTTTTTTTTTTATTTGATGCCAAAAGCAAAGGCAACCAAAGCAAAATTAAACAAGTGGAATGCACCAAATTGAAAAGCTTCAAAACCACAAAAGAAAACCATTAACACAATGATAAAGACATTCTTACAGAATGTCTCCCTTACAAGGAGAAAATATTTGTAAGTCATGTATCTATTAAAAGATTGATATCCAAAATACATAATGAACACCTACAACTCAAAAACCAAACCAAAAACAATCCAACTAAAAATGAGCAGAGGAACTGAATGGATACTTATCCAAAGAAGACATACAAATGGCCAACAGGTACATGAAAAGGTGGTCAACATCACTGATCATCAGGGTAATGTAAGTCAAAACTCAGTGAGATATCACTCACACTTGTTAGAATGGTTATCCTCAAAAAAACCAGAGATACCAAGTGCTGGTGGGGATATGGAGAAAAAAACCATGTGCACTGTTAGTGGAAATGTAAATTGGCACAACCACTATGGAAAACAGTATGGAGGTCTCCAAAAAACAAAACAAAACAGAAAACAGAACTAATGTATGATCCACCAATTCTACTTTCAGTCATCCATAGGAAATGAAAACAGGATACCAAAGAGTTATTTGCACTCCTATGTTTATCATAGCATTAGTCAAAGTAGTTAATATGTGGAAACAACCTAAAGTCAGCCAGTGGATAAATTGATAAGAAGATGTGGTGCATGCACACACACACACACAC